AGGAAGGAAGGAAAGGACAGGAAGGAGGAAGGGAGAGAGGAAGGAAGGAAGGAAAGAAAGAAGGAAAGAAGGAAGGAAGGAAGGAAGGAAGGAAGGAAGGCAGGAAGGAAAGAAGGAAGGAAAGAAGGCAGGAAGGAGGGAGGGACAGGAAGGAAGGAAGGAAGGAAGGAAGGGACAGGAAGGAGGGAGGGAGAGAGAGAGGAAGGAAGGAAGGAGGGAGGGAGAGAGGAAGGAAGGAAGGAAGGCAGGCAGGCAGGCAGGGAGGAAAGAAGGTAGGTAGGTAGGTAGGTAGGTAGGTAGGTAGGAAGGAAGGAAGGAAGGAAGGAAGGAAGGAAGGAAGGAAGGAAGGAAGGAAGTAAAGAACTGTCCAATGTGTAAGATACAATAATTCATTCTATCTCACCATTTCTATGACCTGTGCTGCTACTGTACCTCTTTGCTAAAGGGGTTTCTTACAACAAAACTATTAAGGACATGTTTTAAACATTAAATTGGATCCTGTCTTAAATTCGAGATACCCCAGATTAGAAATGTTCCATCTCCAGATTGTGACAGCTGCTTCAAGAGCAAAATGAACCTTTTCCATCATTTCGGAATCGTCTTGAATTATCAAACGCTGCCAGAATGAATGAAGGTGGGGTGTTCCCCTTCAAAACACAAAAGGGGATTATTATTATTTTTAACCCCCCAAAAAAACACGTCTGAATCTCTTTGAGGGCAACCCGGAGCTGTTTATGTGTCCGATGGACACTCTAATTTCTCAGATCTTTCTGGAATTGCTCATCCTTCTCTTTAATTCATCTCTAGATGCCCTGCTTTCCACTTCTACAAACACACAAGTGACTTAGCAGTTATTGTCAACAGCACAAAGCATGACACCTATTGCCAAAACCAGGGGTCTTCAAAACTTGGCCCTTTTATGACTTGTGGACTTCAACTCCCAGAATTCCTCAGCCAGCGTGCCTGGCTGAGGAATTCTGGGAGTTGAAGTCCACAAGTCACAGAAGGGCCAAGTTTGAAGACCCCTGGCCAAAACCAATGCAATTTAAATAGGTATCAATATTTTGAAGACAGTTAACGATCAGTCAACTGTAGAACACTTGATGAAAGGGAGAATTTTGCTTTCTTTTTTTCTTAAATGGGAAGAATGAAGGCCAAACTGAGGAAGAATTCTATAAGGTGAGAGACAACACCCTTTTATGCTGCAATCCTACAATCTTTGGGAGAGGATTTTGGAGGTCCTGCGGAGAAAAGCTCTGAAAAAGGCCCGCTGCCTGGAAAGGGGGATATCCAACCACAGATCCTTCTCTGACATTAGAGCTCTGATGTCATAAATGGCGAAAAATAAATGCTTCCAAGAAAAGGTCTGCAGCCTTGGCAAACTGAATTTCCAAGACCAGAGCTTGGAATTTAGCTTCTAATTTAGGGTCAAACCTGGATTCTGCAGAGGTTAATTCACTCCTACTGGAAAGCCAACTTTTTTTTAAATTAAACCCTGTTCTTCTCTTCCTTTTGCCCAACCAATAATAATAATCTTATATATAAATAAAAATGTAAATGTTCGTTTGTTCAAAATCTTAAATCTCCGAAAGTTCTTCACCGATTGCTTTGAAATTTTGACACAACGTTGCATTTGAATACGCGCGTGTTTTTATATACCTACTATTATATAGATATCACACTTGTGACAGGTAAAAACATGCTTTTTTTGAAAAACAGCGCCATCTGTTGGACGTAAAAGCAACACACGCTTTTACCAGACTGAGCCACAGCAACGCGTGGCTGGGTACAGCTAGTAATAATAATAATAATAAGTGGCAGGGTCTAAATAGTTTGGAGAATTCCAACATTGGAAATCCTTAATGAACGAGGTAGGGTTGCTTAACGTTATGCCAAGTCTTCAGGAAAATTCCCAGCAGATTTTCTGGCAACGTTAGAAAAAGGGGATGACTTTAGAGCAACAGAAAGGAAATTTGTGCAACACTTAAAACTTTATTTATCCTGGAGCCTCTCGTCTGCCAACTGTCGTTCAAATTACTCCTTCCTCCTGCCAAATATGACATATTCCAGGAGACAAGCTTCAAGTCCAGATCATCCAAGTGCTAAAGTCCAAGCTGAAGTTTCCTGCAGCATGGGTGTCCTACCACTTTAAGTAAAAGCTCCTTGTTTCCTGGTTAATGCATGCTTTATTTGGTTGCAACATGAGCCAGGATGAGGATCCATGCTCACCTGCGTGATAATATGCATCAGAGCTATCGAGGCAAGGATTTCCCCCCCAGTCTCCTATAGAATTTGATCCCGCAAAAAAATCCGTGCGTTCAAGCTCAGATGGTTTGAGCGATGTCACCTGGAACATGCTGATCAGGAGTTGCTCATGTGATAAGCAATCCTGATGTTTTTCCAACAGCTGAACATAGCTCAGCGTGCAAGGCTACCAGATCTGGGCTGCCAAACTCCATCTGACCACTAGGTGACAGCAAAGAGGACAAAAAAAAAAACACCTCTTAGTCCACCTCTATACTACATGGACATCACTGCATCATCTTCCAGCTATGCCTATATCGGTGGCTAAAGTTTCTTTCAGGGTGCCCTACCACTTCTTGTTTCCTGGTCAATGCACACTAAACCTTTAGTTATGAACTGACCTTTAAGAAGTCGGTTCCTATTCCCACAAGGAGAATTAAGCTTTCTTCTTTCCATACTAGGAGAGAAAGAGAGGAAACCAGCCATTAAATTATCCTTTGCAAAGACTAGGAATTAATTAAGGCATTTCTTTTTAAAATAATAATAATAATAGATGTAGATATTGTAACCGTAAGCATTATTTACAGGAAGTAGTTGGTAGCAGTACCTGACAAGATGTTTTGACAAAAACAAAATCATCTGAAGAGGCTGCAAGCTACCTGAATACAGATGGATTGGTGGATAGTTTCATTTGTATGCTTCTCAGAGAAAGAGATTCTCTTTTTAAAAATAAAAAATAAAAAATACTGCAAATTAAGGATGAGGACCAATATTTCGATTAAGGCAAACTCTATGGTTAAGCAAAAAATCAGCAAGTTGACTTGATCTGTACGGGCAAATTTTAAGGAATTGCCCTCCCGTTCCTAAGAAATGTATATTTTTCATTGTGTGCGCTGCCCAGGGACAGTGACACGCGTGTGAGATGGGCAGCTATACAAATTCAATAAATAAATAAACCCAATAGATAGATAAATAAATAAATTAAAAATAATAACCAATCTGCGGCTTTCACAGAAGCAAGCAGCATTTGACTCCTAATACTAAACAAGCAGAACTCTTTTCAGTGAGGACCAGAGCAATGAAATATAATATATCTCTGACTAGTTTTGGCAAGCATGAAGTCCACTAAGACAGGAGGTCCACAACCCGTGGGCAGTGGACCACTACCGGGCTGCGGCTCATTGGGAATCGGGTCACCAAAGTGGAGGGCGAGCGTGCAAAGCTTTATTTGCACACGTGTGGAATTTATATTGTGTGTGTGAAACCATTTCACCCCCCCCTCTGCCGAAGCTGCCACTGCCGGTCCACGGAACCAAAAAAATGGGGGACCCCTGGACTAAGATACGAAATACCCGCCATGAAGTGTAGAGCTACCAAACCCGGACTACAATATATCCACGCAATCAGTAGACAACACAAAGATTTAAGGTTTCCTGTGTCATTTTGTGGCCACTAGTGATCATTCAGATTCTTGCCAGCCCACTCTGAGACCTCTAGAAAAAGAACCAGGTTGCAATCCGAATTATATTTATTCCGTTCTGTTAAGAGTATTTCTTTGGGGCTGCAAAAATTCCCCCCCCCTTTTTTTTTTTAAAAAAAGTAGAAAATTAGGAAACCTTGCTTCGTTATCCCTTCTTTAATCGTCTCTGAAATCAATATCAAACTAGATGCAGCCAAAGTGCAAGGGAGGAAAGTGAAGCAAACACACTAGTGTACTCAGCCACAATCAGAAAAATAAATGGAGGCGAACAGAGGAAAAATAAAGACCTGCCATTCACGTATTTTTGACTGCATTCTCGGCAATGCCTCAAACACTTTGGGCTCAACATCAGATGAAAGTCACTCACTAGTGCAATGATAGTTTATCGGGGTTCTCGTACAAAGAATTGCAGTTTGCGGGGTTTTGAGTAGAATTCTGTGATAGCCAGAAAGCCACACATTCGTTGGGCAGTTTTAAAAAGTCCTTGATTAAAATATTCTCTGTCTACAACATTCTTTACTTCAAGGTAATTGTTTACTGACGGGACGGATGTTTGAGTTCACGCTAAATCAGTATTTTTTACTTCAAACCCAAGTGTTCACTCTATATGACAGGGATTGGTTTGGGTTTTCTGACTTTTTTTTTTTCGTTCCATTTTTTATTTTGGTGTTTGCGATGTAAAGCAGAAGGTAAAACGCTGCCTAATAATCGGGCCTAATTTTGCTGGAAACAAGCAGTTATTATTATTTTTTAACCTTGAAATAAATGCCTGTCCGTTTGATTTCCGTTACTGACTGGACCTGTAAACAGTAATTTAGGTGAATGTTTTCATCTATAAAACCCACTTTCCCCCCCCCCCATTTGAGCAGATAATTAAATGTACCATCCCCCCTTTTCAGCTTTTACTTTGTGCAGTCTATTCGGATTATCTGTTTAACAATATATAACTTAAGATTAAATTGCACCACACCGCAATATTTGGTTTCTCACACAGCAGGAAAACAAAAATCACTCAAAACTGTTCAATAAACTACACTCTACCATGAAAAAGAAAAAAAAACAAAACCTAAATCTTAAAAAAAAAAAAACCAACCCTGAACAAAATAGCAGCTTCGTCGTCATGCAAATTACCCTTGAAAACCAACGTTCAATATACAGTATTCACAAAGACATTTGTATTCACAAACATTGTGTCTTGAAAACTTTGGAGGAATCGGTAAGACAGCGCTCTGAGAACAGGGATCCACGTGGACAAGTAACAGCTTGAGCAACAAAGGACAGATACTGGGATGAAGAGAGAAATTTAAAAAATAATAATAATAATCATAATTCCATTTTGACGTTTGTTGCTTCGAGCTTGCCTTTTCAGAACTTTGCGTCCAGTTCATGAAGTTACGGAAGCCGACTCGTTTTTAGAAAACAAAGACGATCTGTTATAAGGCATTTTACATGATGATTTAAAGTCTCGTCGTGTCCAATTCAACCCTTGAAGTTCTCCAGGAGATCTTTCACGTCTAGCCCACCACGGCTTCCTTAAAACGTTTTAACTTTTTTCCCCTTTCTTTTCTTTTCTTAAAAAAAAGTCAATTTTTTTTTTATTTTAAAACCGGTTGCCGCCTTCCCACCGTGGTTTTCATTCTCTCCCCTAGAATATTTTAGATCCCGGAAACGTATTCAGATGTACTAAATGCCGTTGCATTGATGGGCTTGAAGTGGCAGTGGGAGCGATCGTGATGGAGATGAGGAGAGTTGTGAAGAAGTCTCTGTGTTTTTCTAAGTTACGGCATTGACTCGCGGTTGATTTTACTACCGGCGCACCGGCGTGAAATGGTATCGTATGAAACTGACGTTGAGTGTGTATTCAAACAAAGTTGAAACAGGCATATAAATAATCGGTATTCTAAACCAGAAGGCGAAGGAAATGGCAAGTTTTTTGTTTTTTTCCCCCTTTCCTTTACAAATCGGGTGTTCCAAAGTTTAAGGAGTGCGACCCGCTCAAAACCACATCCGAACAAACAGAAACCGGGTGATCTTTTAAAGGGGGAGCCCTTTGTTTTGTTTTTTTTTACATAAAAGTCTTCAAAAGCACACAGACAAAAGAAGACCTACCCCCCAACCTCGCAACTCCACGGTAAAGCACATACAGGATTCGGTTCTGAATGGCCTAGATGATGAAGCATTCACACACGCGTTACGGATCTGACACACCAACATGCAGCCACGGCGGGTGCCTTCGAGCATCTTCCCCCAGAGAAGATTTTCGAGTCACTGGCATTGCCACTGAATCTGCCATCTGAGCAGACTGGGCCCCCTTTTTCTTGAGTGAAAAGGGTGGGCTAACTTTTTTTTTTGGCAGGATCTTGGTTGGTTAGATTAGGTTTGGGGTTTCACGGGGTCATAATCGGCCAGATAACATCCAGAGCAGGATAATCTGGATTCCTACCATAGACCAGAGTGATGGACTCAGTCCAGAGACTCCACCACACTCAGCCGAATCGTCCTGTAGGTAAGAAAGAGAGAGAGAGAGAAAGAGAGATTAGAAAGAGCGGAAACATCAGTAGAGAGATGTTGACTTCTTAAGCTTCTCGCCGAGAACCCTTTTGTGCAATTTAGTCTCAACGAGT